AAAAACTTGAAAATATCCGGCACAGTGACAGGGGAATTGCGAGAATCGTCAAAGCTCACAAGCGAAGAACGGCGCTGTATGAAGCGCGTACGGCATTAATTCCGACGCGGAATCGAAGCGCGCGAAAGAAGCGAAAAGAAAGAGCAAAAAGCTCGAAAGTAATTCGGCACAGTGGCAAGGTGAATTGCGAGCATCGTCAAAGCTTACAAGCGAAGAACGGCGCTGTATGAAGCGCGTACGGCATTCATTCTGTTGTGAATGGCGAATAACGCGGAAAAAGCAAAAAGAAAGAGCAAAAAACTTGAAAACATTCCGGCACAGTGACAAGGGGAATTGCGAGGATCGTCAAAGCTTACAAGCGAATGACGGCGCTGTATGAAGCGCGTACGGCATTAATTCCGACGCGGAATTGAAGCGCATGAAAGAAGCGAAAAGAAAGAGCAAAAAGATCGAAAGTATTTCGGCACAGTGGCAAGGTGAATTGCGAGCATCGTCAAAGCTTACAAGCGAAGAACGGCGCTGTATGAAGCGCGTACGGCATTCACTCCGCGCACGTCCGAAGCATACGAAGCATACGAAGCATATGTGCGTATGCACGTATGGTGAAGTGCGTGTGTTGAAGTCTGCACGTTGAAGTTTGCCATCTGCTAGCGCTGCATATCGCATATCGCATAAGACGCATATGTGCATATGAAGCATATGAAGCACACGAAGCACACGAAGCATATGAAGCATATGAAGCATATGAAGCATACGAAGAAAAAAAAAGAAAAAAAAGCGCGCAAAAAAAAGACGCGCGCTGCAGGGGATTGAACCGGCGACGTGGTGGACAGATAGAGAGACGGACGGAGGGACGGACGGACGGAGGGACAGCGAATCGGCCTAAGGCCTCCGCTAGACTACTACGTAGTCGCTACGGCTACTAAACGTCGTCCGTCTAACGTCGGGACTACGACGAAAAGTCGCTACGGCTACGGACAGCGATTCGGCCTAAGGCCTCCGCTTTCCTACTTCGTAGGAGCTACGGCATATGCCGTAGCTACGGCATATGCTTCATATGCTTCGTATGAAGCATATGAAGCATATGGAGCATACGAAGAAAAAAAAAGTAAAAAAAAGCGCGCAAAAGAAAAGACGCGCGCGCGCTGGGGATTGAACCGGCGACGTGGTGGACAGATAGACGGACGGACTAGAGCGCGCTGTTCGCGCGAGTGGGCCGTAGCTCCTGTGCTGGCTGATGGCTAACTTCTGCATTGCGCGGACAGTATGTGTCGTGCTTGTCCGTTGCATATGCTTGCAGATCGCATATGCTTGCAGATTGCATATGCTTGCACATCGCATCTGGCATATGCTTGCAGATCGCATATGCTTGCAGATCACATATGCTTGCAGATCGTATATGCTTGCAGATCACATATGCTTGCAGATCACATATGATTGCAGAGCACATATGATTGCACATCGCATGTGGCATATGCTTGCATATGAAGCATTTGTGCATATGAAACACATGTGCATATGTGCATATGAAGCATATGTGCATATGTGCATATGTGCATATGCTTCATATGAAGCATATGAAGCATATGAAGCATACGAAGAAATGCTTGCAGATCGAATGTGGCATATGCTTGCAGATCGCATCTGGCATATGCTTGCAGATTGCATATGCTTGCAGATCGCATATGCTTGCAGATCGCATATGCTTGCACATCGAATGTGGCATATGCTTGCAGATCGCATCTGGCATATGCTTGCAGATCGCATATGCTTGCAGATCGAACGTGGCATATGCTTGCAGATCGCATCTGGCATATGCTTGCAGCCAGTGCATGCTGCTGCTGCTCAGCTGCACGGCCCGTACTCAAATCAGCGAACGGACGTATTCTTCCACCACTGCGGAAGCCGTCCGCAAGCGAGCCCAACCGGAGCCGTTTCGAAGCAGGCGACTGATCCGACATGAAGGCGGACCCGGCGAAGCGAGCACGTATACTAATTAAGCCGTTAAGGATACGAGGTTGTGAACGGCGAAGAACGCGAAAAAAGCAAAAAGAAAGAGCAAAAAACTTGAAAATATTCCGGCACAGTGACAAGGGGAATTGCGAGAATCGTCAAAGCTCACAAGCGAAGAACGGCGCTGTATGAAGCGCGTACGGCATTAATTCCGACGCGGAATCGAAGCGCGCGAAAGAAGCGAAAAGAAAGAGCAAAAAGCTCGAAAGTAATTCGGCACAGTGGCAAGGTGAATTGCGAGCATCGTCAAAGCTTACAAGCGAAGAACGGCGCTGTATGAAGCGCGTACGGCATTCATTCTGTTGTGAATGGCGAATAACGCGGAAAAAGCAAAAAGAAAGAGTAAAAAACTTGAAAACATTCCGGCACAGTGACAAGGGGAATTGCGAGGATCGTCAAAGCTTACAAGCGAATGACGGAGCTGTATGAAGCGCGTACGGCATTAATTCCGACGCGGAATTGAAGCGCGTGAAAGAAGCGAAAAGAAAGAGCAAAAAGATCGAAAGTATTTCGGCACAGTGGCAAGGTGAATTGCGAGCATCGTCAAAGCTTACAAGCGAAGAACGGCGCTGTATGAAGCGCGTACGGCATTCACTCCGCGCACGTCCGAAGCATACGAAGCATACGAAGCATATGTGCGTATGCACGTATGGTGAAGTGCGTGTGTTGAAGTCTGCACG